AGAGTTACACTTTCACTGCTAGGAATTTTAGGGCCTAGGTCATTTGATGTCATTTGATGTCATTTACCTGCCTGTTCATAACATTTAAGTTATAACATTTTTTACTTTTCTTAATTTAAGAGTAAAGATTGTCATATTTGATGTTTTTTGTTATTGTCAGTTGCATATACTACCTATAGCCCTGCATTCCTGCTTCCAATCACCATTCAATAAATTGGAAGGCTGAACCATGCTATTAGATGTTCTTCAGATTGTATTGAGTGGGTCACATGTGATTATAGATATTCCTTTGATAAATGATTTGGGTAGTACATTCCGGGGGGCTACTCTTATTTGGTAGAGCTGTTCCAAATATAAAATACAAATAAGTTGCACACATAGGCTGAGGGTACATGTTTTTGGGGCATTATGAGGATATTTATTTTGGAGAGTCGGTTATTAGCATGATAGATGTCTGTATTTTTAAAACAAAATGCTGCCATTGTTGGCATCAAAGGATATACCTGTACATAGGAAGTACCTACTAGTCAATTTAATGAGTCATGCATCAGGCCAGACTTTTATTATTCCTTGTTTCGCGAACCCGCCGAATGAACAGAAGCCGAAAATAAAATAATAATTTATTTCAGCATAACTTCTTGCTTCCCTCATTAATGCTGAAAATTGTGCCACAATTGGCGTCATTGCCAACCAGGTTGTACATGGAATAAAATTTTATTTCATTCCTTCTCTCTGATCAATGATCTCACTTACAATTCTTTGAGAATCACACAAATTTAATGGAAAAAAAGAATTTATTTTATTTTTCCGCCCTCCTCAAAAAAATTGACTTATAAAAACTCGCGAAACAAGGAATAAAAAAAGTCTGGCCTTAGCTGAAAAAACAACATTTCTGGTCAATTTGTTTTTTAATATCCATGCACGTATTCATGTTTCTATTTAAAAATTTGGAGAGTTTGTATAGTTATTGAGCATGATAGATTTCTGTATTTATAAAACAAAATGATGCTGTTGTTGGCATCGAAGGATACATTGGAGGGGGTGACAATATTATTTATTATGAGAATAATTTTTTTTATTTATGTAGCTATATGTTGAATTAGTAAAAATTAATGTTAGCTTAAAGTAATGAAAATAGTGTGCTAGCTTTCACAGTATATGTAAATGATTTGCCACACATATGTTAGCTATATTTTTTCTTATTTTCTATAAGCCAGTTCTTAAGTTAACAAATTTCTTAGATGAATCATTATATTGTAAATGCATTAATTGTTCCCTGTGTTTTTATTTTACTATTTTTGCCGATAACTGGAGTCCATTAATTTGAATCTACAGGAATATGTGAAATAACATTATAACTCTTCGTTTCAAATCTGTGCATTAAAATCCCAATGAATGTGATAAAATAGTGAAAATAAATACCAGTGAAAATTATTTTTTTACAATATATTGGAATAAGTTTAAGTAAAGAGCAATTATACAGGTTATTTGTTACTTAAATATCATACATTTGAATATGAACTTGAGTATTTGGTTCAAGCCTCAAATGTTTCACTCAAAAATTCCATAGTGCAAATTCTGTAATCAGTGTGGTCTCAATCTTTTGCCACAACCAGCAAGCATTTCAACTGTTAGATACAACTGAACATTCAATTGATGAGTGCAATATTGCCTGTTTGATTGTCTGTAACAAAATAACAAAAAATTAGAAAGGCTTGCAGCTAATGGTCTCTTCATCAATGACAGCAAGGATCACGCTAGTTTGTACATGAAATTTATTTGCTTTCAGAATAATGATTTCGAATCAGTCATGGAAGCTAGTCATAATGTCTTCTAACAAGGTTCTTTAATTCTGTGTGTTTTATTATAGGGCAAAATTGTCTCCATTGGTAATGCTAGATTGATTCCTAGTCAATGCTCATCAAAGTACAGACATTTGAGAGTTGAAATCAATTTTGTAATAATCATTTAATATCTGGTAGAAATAGAAAGAAAACACAACCAGAAGAGGTTGCATCCAAATAGGTTTACAACAAAACTGATTGTTAGTTTACATACTATGTGTTTAGATCAACTTTTATGAATATAATTAAACTGTCTTGTATCATAGAATTCTTTGTAGAGAAAATAATTGTACACAATGATCTATTCTTAATTTATTAAAATAATATATTGTACTTAGCCTAGGACCAAAACAGAGTAGCCAGATATAGTGTGTTTAAAACTCAAATTAGGACTTGGACTTTACAGAGACATCAAAGCTTTGATGGTTGACAAACTTTGCCTTGGTGCCCGTTAAAAAATACTGATATCCCGCAATGTTAATCCTATATGCTTAAAGCGAGAGGGTTGTCACCTGTGTATGCACGGGAATTGAAACTTGTTTATATCAATGACACGCTATGGGTATCTGTCGCATGCACAGGTGACGACTCTCGGATTAAAATTTGATCTTGAAATTGTGTTTCATCTCAACTACTAACTTCAAGTCCTGCAAATTAGGACATTCTCTTACATGTAGTAAAAGGATTCAAGCAATGCATTATGGGAGAGAACTTCCCATTAGTATAATAATATAATGAAAAACTATTATCACACTGGAACTCACTATATTGAATGTCGTTGTTAATGAAGCATTTTTTGAAATTTCATCATCAATTTCCATTTTAGTTTCTTAAAATTTGAAGCATGTTCAATTTTTACAACAGGTCTTGCATGTTGAGTGAATTCAAACAAAAAACATTTTACCTTCATGAACATGTGGTCTTAAATTCACAAACAACTTAAAAAACTTGTATTTGACCAGAAGAGACTTGAAGTAATCCTGAAAACACAGGATGCATACTTGAAAGGGCACCTATTTTCAAGACAAAATTTTATAATATTGACTTACCGGTACTATTTACTGTAGAATACTTTATTTTCGCTGGAATTAATTTTCGCTGAAAGGGCTTTTTGGGTGTTTTGTATGGAATTTATTTTCACTGATTTTTGTTGAGTTTAATATGAAATATAGGAAAAAAAGTGTATTCGCTGGATTTTATTTTCACTGAATCATCCCTTCAGCGAAAATAAAGTATTCTACAGTATTTTTTTTAACAAAAAAAGGACACCAAGGCAAACCCTTAGGGCATCAAGACAATTGTGTTTGATGGTTCAGTGAAATTCAAACCCTGTACTTGTCTATTTTTGTGACAAATTAATATATCCATGTTCCATCCACGGCTCAAACTGTTTTTATAGTATCACAGTGAGCAATCTGTCTCACCATCTGCTTGCATTTATGGCATATTCTGTATTTTACATAGAACAAACAACTCTCTTGTCAGCTTATATTCTACTACTGTTTAACAATCAAAATGACAGGTCACAATTAATCATGGTTTTGTTAATGTAGTGTTCAGAAACAATTTGTGTACAAATTGAAGGATGATATATAATTTGCATATTTTGATTATTCATTAGATGATTTAGTTAAAATTGATCCCCAGTTTGCAAAAGGACATTTAGCATAGGGTCATATTGGGGGCACTTCAAAGCATTACTATATTTGGTTCTTGTGATATAATTGTACAGTTATGAGAATTTATTGACTACTGAATATGAATAACATCTGAAAACAATTCCTACACTTTATCATAGTCTAC